TGTAAAGGTAGAAGTTTTATAACAAAAATGGGGGAGCAGTTAATCTTATAGTCCAGAAACAAAGGCCCCTAGGACCATCAAGGGAGAAGAGCACAAGCGGAATGCAGGCCCTTATCCAGAGATGGAGGCAGAGATGGGAATATGGAGAGGGGAGTGGCTGAGGACTCTAGATTCATGGGAAAAGAGGGACTAAGAGATAGTGACCAGGAGGCAGACTTGCAGAATGTGCCCTTTGGTGGTGTAAATTATCATAAATGCCTGAGTGTTGTTACAAAAAAAGAGCTAAAGTGAATCAAGAGAAATGCTGTTAATTGATGGTACATGGAGGGGATTGTAATCATTGCGACGAAAAAAGTTGTCTGATTTGTTGAATGTAAAACTGATGATCTGCCCTATAAACTTTCACTCAATTCACAATAAAAACATAAAAATAAAAATAAAAACCTGGAGGCATTCTGATGGCACAGTGCTTGAAATGTGGGTTGCTAACTGAAAGATTAGCAGTTTGAACCTACCAGTAGTTCCACGAGAGAAAGATTTAGCAGTTTGTTTCTGTAAAGATTGCCGTTGTTGTTGCTATTGTTAAGTACCTTCGAGCCAGTTCCAACTCAACAGCGATCCTGTATCGAGTTTCCAAGGAGTGGTTGATGAATTTGAACTGTTGACCTAGTAGCTTAAAGTGACCTTGAGTTCTAGTGCATATCCTACAGTGCCACACCTACAAGTCTTGGGAAATGTTCAAGGCTGTTTCACTCTGTCCTATGGAGTCCCGGTGTAGCACTGTGAGCTAATGCATCAGACTGCAAAGTCGTTTGAACTTCAAGATCGATGGTTCAAGCTCACCAGTTGCTCCTATACAGGCTTGCTATGGGTCAGAATCGACTTGACGGCACTTAACAACAACAAATAGGACAATTATAGAGTCCTGGTGTGGCACCATGGGTTAATGCGCTAGACTGCAAAGCCGTCTGAACTACAAGATTGGCGGTTCAAGCTCACCAGCTGCTCCTCGGAAACCCTATACAGGATCACTATAGGTCAGAGAAATAGGGTCATTGTGACTCAGTGGCAATGGCTTTTTGGTGTGGTGTTTGTTAAAACCCTGCATCTGATAAGAGTTTAATATGTGGAATACAAAAAGGGCACCTATAACTTAACAACAAAAAGAGAAAAAACCCAATCAAAAAAAGACAAAAAACAGACATTTCAAGAACATGAAGAAATTTAAGTGACAATCTCTATCATTCACTTTTGTGAAATCCTATGCAGGGTCAGAAACCCCATGCAGGGTCACTGAGTCAGAGCCACCGCCATAGGAGATCCTAGAGCTTGTTTATTAGTCTCAACAAAACTGATCTCTTACATATAAATGTGAGTTTAAGTATGCCAATAAAAGATATGTCTGCCAAATAGTAGCGTAGTGGTTACGAATCAGGCTGAGAACCCTAGGGTCAGCAGTTCGAAACTACCAGCTGTTCCTTGGGAGAAAGATGAGGCTTTCTGCTCCCGTAAAGATTTACAGCCTTGGAAACCCTGTACAGGGTGGCTATGAGTTGGAACTGACTCCACGGCACATTACAACAACAACAACACCAAGAAAAGTGAAAACCACCTTCACAATGTCAGTGAACGTGGATGAGCAGAGAGGCTTAGGACTAGGAGAAAAGGAATCTGTTTGAAAGAAATGGAACCCAGAAAGCAGACAAACAGGGATGAGGGAAGAGAAGTTGGACATTAACAAGTTAGAAGAATCTAGAAAAGTAACAGTTCAGAAGTTTTCCAACAAAATACAAGCATCTATATCCAATCTGTATAATTGGGAAACAAAGAAAATGTTAGCACTTAGGAGTTAAAAGTCTCTACTAATAGTCCTGGTGTGGTGCTGTGGCATAAAGCACTAGACCACAAGGTTGGTTTGAGTCAAAAGGTTGGTAGTTCAAGCTCACCATCTGCTTCTTGGAAACCCTTTACAGGGTCACTGTATGTCAAAACCTACTCGATAGCGCTTAACAACAACTAATAACTAAATTTAAGATAATAACTAAATTGAGGATAAATGTTCATATTATGAATGAAAATAGTAGTAGAAATTAAAAATAAACAAGAACAGTTTATTTTTTAGAAAGTATTAAGCTTAGTCAAATAGTACTGAGGAATAAGATTCTGACTTATCTAATAACCCATGATTTCCTTCTCTGAGGTCAGCGTACTGTATACAACAGTGTTTGCAATCATGCTAACTAACCCTGCCTTTAACTGCAGCCACATCTTAGAAGTAAAACACAGCTCTGCCATCCTCTCCCCTTTCTCCCACCAACTCCCATCTACTACCCACCCACTCCCCCCCACACACACACTTGGCCCTCCCTCATCCTATCCACTTGGCAGTACTGGACTGAGGGGCAGAAATGGATATTATACCACTGAGAGAAAGCTGGGAAGCCTTCTGTTTGGGCCACTCAAAGTGTGTTTTAACAAACTTACCAACATCTCCATAAACATACAGGCCCCGTGGAGGTTTCCTCCTTGAGAAAAGCTGTAAATTAAGAAAAGCTGTAAATGATAAATTGCTAATATGGAGTAATTAAATATAATCATATACAGTGATCTTTACTGTGCTATAATACAATATAAAAGGACTAGGATGGGCTACTGTACTTAATAAGTAACAATTCAAAAGAAAAAACTTTAAGTGAAAGATTGTGAAGAAGGTGATAAGCATAAAGACCATGAGCAAGGGCTCTGAAGTCATACTACTTGAATTGACATCCCTGCACCATTTAACCAGGAGGACTGGTGTAGCTCTGTGGGTTAATGCGCTGGACTGCAAAGTTGATTTAAACCACAAGGTTGGCGGTTCAAGCTCACCAGCCACTCCTCGAAACCAACTCAATCACACTTAACAACAACAACCATTTAACCAGATGCCATCGAATCAACTCAGATTCACAGTGACTCCATGCATGTCAGAAGAGCACTGTGCTCCATAAGGTTTTCTGAAGTAGGTTTTTCTTCCAAATCACCTCTGAGTGGATTCAAACCTCCAACCTTTTGGTTAGCAACCAAGTGTGTTAACCATTTGCACCACTCAGGAACTCCCTGTACCACTTACTAACCATGTAATCCTTCCCCTCTTTCCCAACTAGGCTAGCCCAAAATGAGCACTACAGTACAGTAGCCTAGTACAGTAGCCCAACCTAGCTCATTCCCAACAATCAAGAGATTAAAAGACTCTCTGGAGAAACGAAATGGTCTCCAAAGAGAAGGTCCAAAGACACTAAAGTATGGGCCTCTCCCAAATACTAAAGTTTCTACCCAATCATTTTACAGTGAAGCACACCAATCAACAAACATCTTAAGGCAGATCTTTCAATCATCTTTTAGCACCTTAAAAGACCACAAACATGAATGGAAAGCCAATAATGAATAGACATATGAAGAAAACTTTCAAGATGAAAGTAGAAGACTAGAACAAATATAAGGGGAGAAAAAACTTGGAGGGAATGCACTATGTAGACAGCAAAAGGAAACTTCAAAAATAAAACTGTAATCAATGTAATTAATATGCGGAGAAAAATAAGAGAAGCTATTACAACCATAAAGCAAGAACAAAATGCTATTTTTAAGAAAGGAACATCAAGAACAAAAGAGAGCACTTTGAAATTGAAAATAAAGTGTAGCAGAAATAAAATTCCAGGAAAAGGATTAGAAGACAGATTTGAGAAAATGTTTTTTTTTAAGTTTAACAAATAAATAGTAACAATAAGGGATGGAAAATATAAGAAAATCAAAGGATTCATTCAGGAGGTCTAGGATCTGACAGAAAGAAACTTCAGAAACAGAGAGAGGAGAAAGTTATCTAAGAAATATTGTAAAGACTTTTTTCAGAACTGAAGGACTTGATTTCTAGATTGGGAGGGCTGAACAAGTGCCTAGCAGAATGAAAGAAATAAGAGCCACACCAACGTACAACACTGTGAAACTGCAGAACAGAGAAGGTACTACAGATTTCGGAGGGTGGAAGTAGTGGGACTATAGAACACAAGTAACAGTGGGAAAAGACTTGAATGGAATTTGAGGGGAAAGTATTTCCCTACCTGCAGTCCTATACATCTGAAACTCACACCATAACACTCGACTCAGACCTGAAAGCCTGAATTTGAATCAGTTTCTCTACTGACCAGCTAGCTATAAGATCTGTCCTAAATTATTTTATCTTTTTCTAGCTTACGTAACTTGTAAAATAGGTTGATGGCACTTTGTCTAGTGTGTTTTTGATGAGGATCTAATGACACTGCAGATGATAAACTTAAGGATGGCTTTGACAGGTAGTGATGACTTCTCATCTATCTCCAATGAGCAAGCTAAGTATAATGGATAAAGCGGGAATATAGGAATTAGAATAAAAAGATGTGGTATTTATTAGCTACTAGTTCTTCTCCATGAGTCAGAGCTGACTCAAAGGCAGCTATCTATATATTAGCTATGTAACGCTGGATAAGGCATGTCAACTCTCTGACCCACTATTCTCTTATCTATTGGGTGTAGGTCACAGCACAGGGGAGTTGCCAGGCACGGCCCTCTTCTACAAACCTAATCACAAGGCCCACTTGCTCACACTGGAGACTGCAAACTTTATGTGCTTATTGATACTTATTACCACCCAAATTTGTAGACCATAAAATAGAAATTTCACATGCTTGGACACACCCCTCTCAAAGACCTGAACAACACAATTAATAAGCTCAAGCAATTGAACTTATTACATCTACATAAACTTTATAGTCAACAATCAAGAATACATTCAAGAACACAGTCTCACAGCTTACTCTATCTAGAGATGAGAACTAAATGGTGCCCAGCTATCACTAACTGGCCAATCTAATCATGACTAAAATAGATGGACGCTAAAATAGAATGGAAGGAAAATGTGGCACTGAACCTCAAATTCCTTTAAAACTAAAACAAAACAAGAAAAACCTACAGGACTGGTAGAGATTGGAGGACTCGCTGAGACTATAGCCCTGAGATACTCTCAAACCTTGAGCTCAAACTAACTTCAGGGGTCACCTTTCAGCTTAAATAACAAGTTGGCTCTAAAAAAATAATGAATAAAACCCATGAGTCCTGTGCTTTTTAAAAAAATCACCTACATGAGACCAATTAAAATAAAGATGAGACTGTAAGGGGACAAGGAAACTAGATGAATGGAAATGGGACAACTGAAACGGAAATGAGAATGTTCACACATTGTGAAGAATGTAATCAATGTCACTGAGTGACTTGTGCAGATATTGTTGCATGAAAACCTAACCTTCTGTGTAAACACAATAAAATATTAGTTTTAAAAAGTAACACATAAAACAATTCAAATATAATCCGAGTGTTAAGCCATAAAGGCAAGTATAATAAATTCCAAGAATCAACATTCCCCAACCATAACATAATGATATTAGACATGAATGATGGAAGGATAACTTTTTAAATCACATATGAAGATATCTACCTTCCTTTTGTGCTCAGCCAGATGGCTGAAGATTGTTGGGAAAATGTCTCATAACTCTGCAGAGTGGACTTCTCATGAGGCCATGGATATCGCCAACAATTCTGTTTCCTAGTTAGCTCACTCTCCCAATCGCTTCAGCAATTCTATGGGATATTCTCCGCTCCCTCCAAGCTGAACTACAATTCTCCCATCATTTTCAGCAGATGATGTCTTTTCTTCACAGCAAGAAAACATACGGCATTAGGACCTCCCTCAACTTCCATGTTGTTATTGTTGTTAAGTGCCATTGAGTTGATTCTGACTCATAGTGACCTTGTATAGGGTTTCTGAGGCTTTAAATCTTTTTGGGAACAGAAACCCTCAGCTTTATCCCACAGAGAATCTGTAATTTCACTCATGTCTACAGCCTTCCTGCCTCTCTTCCTTCTAAGACAAAAGAAGATAGTTCTTTTTCCTATCCACTCTTATACCAATTTCTAGATCTCATACCACCCTCCTCAGGAACCAGAGCCTTTCAAATTAGGTTTCTCTTTCATCAACATTCTTTAAAATGTTTTCTGTAAATTTATTTTTATGGTACTGAAGTGAGGAAATTCTTTCCAAGGAATATATAAACCCAGAAGCCACCAGGAAAAAAAAATGAGTACATTAAAAACAATAAAATAAAAAATTTTGACAGACTTCTAGCAAGATGGCAGACTAGGAAGACACACTACATGGACCCTTTTAAACTAAGACACAAGAAACAAAATAAAACAGACACAGATGAAAATTCTGACACCGTGAACTTCAGAAGAAAGGTTAGAGAGGTGGATAAGTACTTGCTGGGAGGAGAGGCCAAGCAGAGACAGCAAAAGAGGGAGACTGACTGGTAAACTCCTGGTCAGATGGAGTCCACCATCTTGTGACAAGCTTTGGCCGTGAAGGAAGGCCTAGCAGAGCAGATTCACCTGGACTATGGAAAAGGTAAGATTTCTTCTTTTGCCCAACACTCCTCTAGTGACCAGAAGTGTGGCCAGCTCTCACCCTCATCTACCTCCAGCACAGATCCTGCTCTCTGGAAGTTTGAATTCAGGTGGTTCAAAGCCATGTCAATGTGACGTGGGAGCTGGCTGAGCCACCTTGGTGTGTCACTTTGGTGGCTAGATCCAGGTGAACTCAGATCCATACCTACAAAACCTGCAGAGCCACCAGACTAGTATTTAACCATCCTGTCACCAGCTTCTCTGTGGTTCTCACAGACACTGAGGCTAGCTCCATCAAGAGCCCCCTCAAATTGCTTCTGGATTGAGTGTCCTGAACACAGATAACACTAAGGCCAACAAAAACTCCATTTAGGACCAGGGATTCTGTTTCCACATCCTTTTCACAATCACCTCATGAGCTCCTTGAATTGCAGTACCCCTCCAGAGATTTCCCCCCTATGGGTCCAACAACTGCACTGTTAGTTTTTTCTAATACGACAACCCCAAAACTCCCTGCAGACAACAGACAATTATAGTTCATAGGAAGAAACAAGAGAAAACAAACAAAGTAATGAACTAACTGAAATAGAATTCAAAAGAATGATAATTATGTACCTTCAAAGGATCGATAGAAAGATCAAGGAAAGCAAGGAGAACACAATAAAAACTTCAGAAAAATACTACAAGAACAAACAGGTAAAATAAATGCAAATTTTGAAACAATACAAAACCTGCTATTAGAAATCCTAAAGATTAATACTGGTGGCTGTGTGCCATGGAGTCAGTTCTGACTCATAGTTACCCTGTACAGGGTTTCTGAGGCCTTACATCTTTACGGGGCAGAACGCCTCATCTTTCTCCCGCGGAACAGCTGGTTGTTTCGAACTGCTGACCTTATGGTTCGTAGCCCAATTCGTAACCACTACACTACCAGAGCTCCTTAAAGATTAATACTAAGATCTCAAAAATGGACGATACATTGAAAGGGCAAAGGAATAGATGTGAAGCAATGGAAGCCCATATTAGTGAGCTTTAAGATAAATTTCTCAATGCTAGTTTGCTAGA